TGTTTGAAGCCGCACGCTCCGAGAACGCCACCACCCCCCCGCGCCCTTCATTCTCCACAATGGCTGAGAATTGAAGACTCTTATCGACTCCCGAACAAGAGCAAATCTCTCCGGCTCTCGGGGTTGAACAATGGGGCAGCGCCGCGAGGCTCGAATCCTATCTCTGTAGCTGTCTGGGCTTACAAGACAAGAGAGGACGAGGAAGGGGAGAAAGAATATTTAAATCATAATCCGGCGTGTTCACGAATCCCCCCTTTATACGCCAGGTGTGGAAGATAGCGGATCAAGACGTTTGCAGACGTTTTTGGACACATCTTGGTTTTGATTTTAAAACTGATATTTCACGTCTTAGACTGGCCGAACGCCCTACTGAGATAGGGGGTCTGCAATTATATATATATATCATTGGGGCGTCGTGATAAACTTTAGAATAAATAGTAATAAACACCGAATTAAGTCAAAAACTAAAGAGCAATAGAAAAGGACCAGAAAACAACCCCCCCCCGTGGTGCTGAGCGCTCCCCCAGCTGTAAAAACACCGTAATGATGTTAGTGATTGAAGTTGATTTGCCGAGCCTGGTCGGCTCTTCTTGAGCAGGAGAGCGCGGACTGCGTCATGAACCGGAGTTCTCTTCTCCCGGTGCCGTCGGTAGCAAATTGTAACGCTGGTGTCATCCCCCCCATCACGACATCATAGCGTGAGGAATTTCCTTCAGCATCCTCCCGTAGCATCGATAGCTACAGTCATCTAGATCATGAAGCACAGACACTTTTTGGGTGCAGGAAGATCTGAAGTTTATTAAACCAGAGATTTCTAACACAGGGGCCGGGACACGCTGTGCGCTGTCGTGTGGGGCCTCCTCAGCGCTCAAGACCCATATATTCCGCCGCCACGGTTTCGTTTTTTGCTTGATCAGTTTCTTTGAGCTCGACAAACAGACCTCTCACGCTAAATACAGGGTCGAAGCAAAGCAAAACTGTTTACTTTCTAACCAGCCAGCCAGTTAATTACACGTTCGCGCCGAACGCGGGCCTGACTTCGCGTCCCGGGGAACATTTTAAATGCAGTCCTCTCCTGTATTTAGGCGAGGACACGGGGCGCCGCCGTATCGGTTTAGAGTTTCAAACCCGAGTGGAGCAAATTGCAGACTTCTTAAAATACGCCCTCGCATATTTGGGGGTTACAAGGGTAATTGGAAACGTACGCGCGTCACGTGAAACGCATTAAAAAACAGGGCCACATTTGTGGGGTGGAGCAAAGCTCATCCGGCGCTTCCACACGCCGTCGTGAAAACGGCGAGCCGAGGGCAGGCGTCGACAGCGGAGCTGCGGGTACCGCCAGGCCGCCGGTCTCTGCCTCTGCGCACCTCTCGGACTCGCCCCCCCCGGGGCAAGGAGAGGCTCGCGGCGGGGGCAGGTGGGGAAACTTGCGTGACAACCGGGGGTGATGCCACTCGGCTCAAAACTTGGTGTTCCCGAATATTAAGACCCATTAGTGATGTTGTTAACACCAGCAACACTTCGAGGTGGTCATCTGGCCACATCTGGAGTGTGTTGTGATTGTCCCTGCTGCTGTGTTGATCCGTAATAATCGCAGCGGCAGGGATGCAGTACCACGCATCGCCGCCAGGTGGCGCAGCCGTTCGCGCAGCCGTTCCTTCAGTTTCCTTCACGGGCTCAAATCTTCCTCTGATGAGCAGTTCTACGGTCGCGTTTGCAGCATAAGGCCAGCTTATCTGTTGCGACGTCTCTGTCCACTGGCGACAGAATTAAATCGATGCACCCCACCCCGACCTGCTTGTTAAACAGTACCTTAACCATCAAAAACCTGTAACTCCCTGAGAGTCGGTGAGTTTGTCTCGGAGCGCCGCTCTCTACGGCGGCCCCCGGGGGTCCGGCCATCCCCGGTGTCGGTAGCCGATACGGGACGGCTGCACAATTAATTGAAAACAAACAAACACCTTAAGGCGCACGCTACAGAGTGATCGGAGGCGGAGACAAGTATTTGCTGATTGGGAAAAGAAGAGGTCCCTTAAACTTTTCATCCTATCGTGAAGTCACGATAGCAGAGCCCGTGTCCCGCTTGGGCGGGTGGGTCTCAGACAAGAGAGTCGGTTTCGGTTGAACGGAGACTTTCAGACTGTGCTTCTGACTGTCAGCACAGAGACCCCACCACCACGGGCAAAACCTGTTCCCACCCCACCCCCCTCTCGCGTGCTCTCTTAATTAATTGCGACTTAATTTAATTGTCGCAGTCTGCAGGCCGTCCTCGCGTCACGACTGGAAATGAAACACTTCTCCTGCAGGACCTAACCCGGTGAGACGGCGGTCTTTGATGGATAGGCCTATCGATCGATCAGCGGGATTGATTGATTAAGCGTCTTCCCATCCGGAGGCAGGATGTAGACGAATAACTTCAGTCCGCTAAGGGAAAAAAAAAAAGAGAAAAGCGAGAAAAAAAAGAGGAAAGTGAGTGATTTTCCGAGATTGAGACCTGGGGCTACAGAAATAAAACTGAAAAACTACCGTCTCAACCGGCAGAAATCCTTCTGGTTAGAGTCACGGGCTGGGAAGTACTGACAAATCCGACGAAGTACCTGAACCAGCCGCGTCACTGGCTGCGCCTTGCAGTCAGAACACTAATACACGTGTCAGCCCGCGCCGTTGTAGTCGTCGTCAATTGTATAGTAGCAGGAATATCACAGATGAACGAAAAACAAAAAAAACACTCCCCACGCGTTTTATCTGAACAGAGAGCGGCTCGAAAGGGCATACCTTAGATAAGATCGGAGAAGTTTTAGCGTGGCGTCATGTTTCAAAGGCGAGGGTTCCATTTAACAAACGCGCCGGGCTCGTTGACCGGGATCGACGTGGCCGACCTCGCCCAGGGCTCTCGCCGGCCGCACCGG